CTACAGAGTCCCCAGGAGTGCAGGGGCCTGACCATGCGGGGCCAGGCAGGGGTGGAGGCCTGGTTCTGCAGCCCCGTACCATCACACCCCTATATTCCTGGGGTTTCCATGAAGACCAGCCAGAAGCTGGGGCTGCCAGGAAACGGAGTCTGCTGTGGGCCCAATGCAGCCCATGGGCCAGATTCCCCGCCCCCGGTCTCTGCTCATAAGTATTGCCTTTTCTGGGAGAGTGTCTGGGAAACACTTCATGTAACAAGCTGGTAGAGCCCTTCCTATTACATCGCCTCATTATGTTTCATGTCTTCACCTTTAAGGAGGTAGGCAAGGATTTATTTCTGTTTTACAGGTGGGGAAAATAAGGGACAGAGCTACTAAATTACTCCCCCAACCCCAAGTTCATTAAAGTATCAGGAGCCAGAGTAAAATCCAAGAGCTCGAGTCCTGGCCATGTGTAAAGTCTGTGTATCCAACAAAAGAAAGAGGTGCTTGTTGGATGTGCATGGGACATGGTGGCAGAGTAGGGAAGGTATTCTCACCGAGTCTCACTCTAGGTTCATGCCTGTATGGTTGACACATCTGTCAATGGGTATCCTATTTGGAGTACAGAGACAAAGGCAGTCAGGTCTCATGCTAGCCAAATGGCTCCCTGGTGTCCTGTTGGCTATGAATGCTGGTGTGCCTTTACCACACTAGCCCCATGGGCTGCCAGACTTGGGTGGACCCTTGCTGGCATGTGCTAGCTTGATCCATCAGTCATGGGTAAAAAAGCATCCAAAAATGAAGCAGCACTGGTCTTAGCAAGTGCTGGCAACCTGTATATACATACACAGGCCCTGAACTTCAGTTGCTAGCACGCTCTAAAGCCCATGCAGCTGTGCCTTCACTGCCAGCTCCATTAAAGTAGCTCAGAAACTCGTTCTCAAATCAAGTTAACATGTGCCCCACTTCGTGAACACAACCCAGCCATTTCATTGATGCTGGTGGGGTTTAAGGCCAACTGAAGTAGCAAAGTGATCTCAGGTGTAAAAAACAGGAGAGGGCAATGCCATGAGGTGTGTGCTACATTGAGGACATCAAGAGTAGCCAGTGTTCAAGAATGATCAAGGCTAAGCTTTCTTTAAGTCCAGAGGCCCAAGGTAAAACTGTCTGGGTATAGAGGTGTCAGCCACCCATCTTCCTTTAGTCTAGTCTCAGAGCTTACAGCCTTAGGAGATTTTACCACTGTCATCTGGTGTCTCAATTACCATGCTGAGTCCTCTGCATGAAAAGCACATGTAGCAGCCACACTGACATCTGCTATTGTAAATACAAGCTCTGTATTGTTGGGTAATCTCTTAACAATAGAATAAATGATAATGGAAGGGTAATTAGCAATGTCCAGTCAATCATTACAGTCAGGAGAAGAAACCCTTGTCTGATAACTAAATGGTAAATGAAATAACCTTTATTACCCTCAGAGCAATTCCTCTACTTTGGCAAATCCAGAAAACACTGAATCTTGGTGCCAGAAGGAGAAGCTGGATTGGGAGTCCGAGAGCCTGAAGTTTTTTCCCCCTATGGATCAGGTCTGATGTTGGTACAGCCAACCCTACTCTGCCATACTGGTGTGCCTTAGCCTTGATTTGTAGGAAACATCTCTGAAGATAAGACATGGCTGAGGTGTGCCTCAGATTTTGTGCTGAGGCAGCTCCCAACATGCGGGGTTTGACTTTTTATGGAGGTACCTATCCACTACGAAATAGGCCCAGATTCACCCTACTCATTTCATACTATGCACTAAACACACAGCTGCTAGGTGGTAAAAAGCCAATCTCACCTCTAGCCTCCCCTCAAGTAAAGCTGGTGAGAGGGGCCATAACCATGTGTAAAGCAGTGTGTGGACCCACTATACTGTCAAACCATTTCAGTTTGCCTGTGTGCACAGAAGAAAAAAAATTATACTTATGCTAAGGAACTGTATCTAAGGCAAGACACTGAGGAGGAAAAAAACCCTGGGCTCTTTGCCATGTTTTTTTTGTTTTGTTTTGGGGAGTTTTAAATCCAGCCAGGTAAAGACAAATTTTATTAGGAGACAGTCATGGACAAATATGGCTAGGGGCAGGCTGTTTCTATAGTGAGTACAGGGACTTCAGTTATGAGAGGTTTCATACCCATTACCAAGCCCCTAAGTCACCAAGCCACTGAATGGCATCAAGCAGGAGACAACAGCTCCCTTTGATACATTTTCTCTCCAATTATTCCCATGAATGGTTTGTTTTCATTTTGTCCCATCAGCTCCTGCTTGCAGACCCTTTTGTCATCTAATTATTCTAAAAGCCACGGCACCTTAATGTGCTACCATGGAGACAACTGATAGGACACAGCATGGTCACAAGTACTTCTAGGGTAGAGATCATCAGAAAATGTTGGAAAACAGAAATCAGTCCATTACCTTCCATCAGGCAACTACACTCCCCAGTTCTCAACTGAAAATAGTGGAGTTACACCAAGGATGACCATGTCCCCTTATGCTTGCAAAAAACCTGAAAGAAAGGTATTACATTCCCCGATACGCTGAGCATCCCTTAGAATAGCCCTTTCCTGGCTCAGTGGTCATGCATTATAAATTACGCCATTGCAGCAGTGCCTTCAGACAAGACTTGATAGATTTGACCGTCAGCTGTTAGGGGCCATGGAAGCAGACAACCCAATAGGTTAACTAGGGTTTTATTCAGCAGTGGTTCTGGTGATCTTATTCCCTTCTCAATTAGCTTTATCAGAGTATTAAGTTTTTGGGGGCAGGGATCCTTTATTGTGTTTTTACAGCCTTCTAACACAATGGATTCCAGGTCAATGACTGTGGCTCTAAGGTACGACAGGGATAAAATTAGTAGCAGTATTAGTGTAAGAGCTGACATTTTGGGGGGAGTCTTTTCCTTGCTGTGATGCCCACAGGCACACAAACAATCAGAATGGGATCATCCGTAGGTTCCAGATAGGTCCCTTATAATCACCGAGTGAGAATCCCAGGCTGTTCTTTTACATGTGCCTATAGGATATTTTGCATGAAACACTACTCTGATCCCCATGTTTTCATTTCCCCGGGAGCAGCAGTTATGCCTTCTCTTAAATCAGCCGTTCTGCCTACAAACAGTCTTACTTCTGAGGGCTGCCCGAGTCCAAGTCCCTATGATGGGGTCTGTTTAGGTACCAAAGATGGAGCTATTTCTACTCATTACAGGCTGTCTTGATGATACAAAAGCTTTACAAGTCTTTTGTCAACAGATATCACAGTGCAGAGGCTAGTGTGGGGAAGAGAGAGCAGTAAAAAGGGAAGAAATGGGAGACTGTCAAATTTGGGGCGGGGGGTGTGTGGGGTGAGGTCTAAAACACAGCACTATCATAGCAATCTTCTTAGGAAAGTCCCCGACAACCTGCATCATGGTCAGAGGAAGGTAGTTCCCAACAGGCAAGAATGATCACAGTAGCTACAATAGCTTAACCAGGCTACAGACAAGCTCAGGAAGATCTCCAGGTGTTGTGTCTGTCTTCTCTGGTCACCTGCTATTTGTTGAATTTGCTGATGATTTAATATGAATGTTACACGAAGGGAAAGCATCAATCTTCCCATCACAAAATGGTAGTCCCCAGAGCTTATAGGGGAACAAACAACCCAATCCTTTCTGCATCTTCTCCGTCAACTCCTGACATGGCATCCACCATGGAGGACAGAAACAGATACTGGGGTGGGGGTGGGGGAAGGTTAGGATCAAATTAAACTTAAGTGACACTGTTGTTTTGCCTCTTAACAACTACCTCCATCTTTAGGGGGCTGCATAGCTTTGGGGGCAAGTCTTGCATCCAGCCAGACAGAATCAGGAGCAGAGGATAAGCTGTGTTAGCCTAGCCTTCCTAGCACGCATTTCACCTTGTGGGATTCCTCAGGGTGAAACTTGTAACAAATAAGACATCTAGTCGTGAAGGATGTGCTCAGATGACAGCAGGGAAAGGTTATCTTGGTATCAAATGGGTTTTGCAGGCAGTTCTGTATTTGCATGCGCAGTATTCACTGATCAGCCCTTTCCAGAATCACCATAGATGATTCAACACCAATAACGATGCAGGAGCTGTACCATTTCTGGCACAGGTTTGAGGGTCCCCAAGGTGTGATAAAATAGGAGAACACACAGATTGTGGCTATTTTCTTCAGACATTTCTACCTCCTGAGATTACATAACGGAGGGAGCCTTTGTTTGTGCTTTGCTGCATCTCTATGAGGGTGTATTGAATGTACAGACCAATCTATGTTATTCCTTCTCTCCTTGAAGCAGTGCCCTCCCTCCCCTACTCGTCAGCCTCCCCCTCCATGTCCAGCAGCAATTGTCCTCTGACAAGTGTGAAGGGGGGTGGACATCCTTCTATCCCAGCTCCTTCTTCCCCTGAATCCTGCCTCCGTCTTTAGCTCCCAAAAACAAATAAGTGATTTAGGATTTAAACCATTAAATCTCCTGCGCTGTGGACAACACATTCAGCTCCATGCCTTCTCCACTCCCTCTCCACCTTCAGACAAATGGCTTCTTTTGTATATTAGTCACTCCAGAGAAGGATCTGTGGGAACCTCTTTCACCTCCCCCCTTCTCCAAACCCTAAGAGAGCCTACCCAGCAATATGAGGCCCAGCATTGATCCACTGCCACTCAGATCTAACCAGTTTAGAGCTTGACACTTATACACACACCCGTACACATTTATATGCTGCAGAGAGAGACCCCTAAGCTACTGAAGGTGACAGTGTCACCGCTCGTGGATTTCTGCATTATACTCTGCACTGCAATCCTAGCTGTAGAGTGTGTGCATGCAGCAGAGACTGGGCTCCTTCTGCACAAACCCCGAGTCAATGGGAGCAAGATCAGCTCTCCTCCCCCTGCCCACATATTGAGTAATGCCTTGCACAAGATGCAGACGCATCAGGATCCAGCACCAAAACAACCCCTAAAATCATACGTGTCTTTGCAATCTTACCTTCCCACAAAATTCTCCAGCACGGAGCTCTTGCCGGCGCTCTGCCCCCCGACCACAGCAATCTGGGGCAGGTCCAAGTTAGCATTCTGGCCGATGGCTGCAAAGGCATCCTGGAGCTTGTTCACCAGGGGGATGAGGTCTTCCATCCCGCGGTTCCCCATGCTTGCAGCTCTGCCTGGCTCTCACCTTCTAGGCTTGCAATGCAACCGCCTCCTTCTCCCCCGCTTGCTTTGCAAAGGATCTACTGGGGGGGATCGACCCCCGAGCCCGCATGGAGGGCTGTACCCACCCACCCTTCCGCGGCCAGTGGGGCTAGTTCGCCCTCCGCCTCCACCAACCTAGCCCAGGTCTCTGGATCTCTGCGGCCGCAGCGCTACTCCCAACTGCCAGCTCGAGCCCCGCTACTCGCCGCGCTCCTGCCTGGATTTAAAGCGCGGCGACCGAGAGCAGCCGCCAGGGGGCGTCGTGATGCCTCCGGTGTGCCCAGAGCTTCATGGGACTTGTAGTTTCTCTCTCCAGGGTCCGTGGGCGGCCAAAGCGGGTTATGCAGCAAGCGTAGAATAAGAGGGATGTGTCCAGTGTCTCAGCAAGCAAAATCCTCACCAGTGGAGTTAAAAGGCGAAATTCAAATCCAGCCCTACAAGCTGAGATGCGGCACATCTTCATGATCGCTGATCTCTTTCATGATCAGGGATACCTCGTAGTAGAGAAAGTAGGAATAAGTCTTGTCTCCTTTTGAACCTGGAGAAGCACGAAATGATCAGTGCCCTGACTGCATGCTGGAAGGGCACTGTGAAGCCATCCCTTCCAACATGTGAAGTACTGTCTCTGTAAATAATCAACACCTGAAATCACTGATCGGAAAGATTATGTTCTTGTATTTCTGATTGGCCTTCTGTTTTTGGATCTTTGTGTTTTGCATTTCATCTGACCGGGAAGTGATTCATTTCAGTTTCTTATTCAGCATGCTTGGGCCTTGTTGCCATTTCCCAAATATGCAGGGAAATATTTAATAGGATGTTTCCACCCATTCTTTTTTTTTCTAATTTCCACAACGAGAAAGTCTTCTATTTCAGGGTTTGTGAAAGGGTAACTTTACAAAAATAAAATTCAGGCCTATATTTACATTGGAATATCCCCAGGTGAAAACAGTAGTGTGTTTGGGGAAAAACAAAGGAAGCGGTGGCTCACGAAAATATATAGCATCTCAACTGCCATTGTAACTGAGGCTAAATGGTATTCCTGTTCCAGGCTCAGATTCAGCTGAAAGCATAGTACTTTGGCCCTTTGCTTGAGCTGCCATCTCATTTTCTAGGATTTCTGCTCTCAACTTTTTAAATAAGTCTCAGCTATTTTAATTGTACATAAAACCTCACAAATATCAGTCGACTGTGAGCTGTGCAGACACACCTGCACGAAACTGCAGAGCCTGGACCTATAGCTCCGAGAGGTGTGAACTGCCCCTTTTGTATCGGGGACATGTTAGCTCAGATGTCCAATGATGATTTACATCATCCACGCTGTTAACTTTCATTCCTCAAGCAAGAAAAGTAAGGGGGGGGAATCAAAGATCTGCATCTTGTGCTGTGGGTGATGCGTCATTTTCAGGCCACCGGCTGGTGGTGTTTAGGAGAAACCACTACTTATTCTTCCTTCCCAGCTATCAAGCCTAGTTAATCTCAAAGAGGGCCAAGCTTAATAACCCTAGTGGAGGTTAAGAGGTGCACAAAGCCATATGTTGCCAATTTGTCTCTCTGCTGTGAGCCGCCTCTCATTCTGCGGATTCATACAGGCTGAGTCTGAAATAACAATATTACCCTCTCCCCCTAGCAGACTCCTGCCCTTCTTGGAGATATCAGCAAAGTGTGGAACGGGCATCAAGAATGCCCTCCCTCCTGTCCAAACCTCTTTAAGGAGCAACATCTTTGCAGTCCCACTCTAGCAATCTTGGTAGGAAATTTACCATTTCCTAGAAGCTTGCTTTAATCTGCATTTCTAATATTCCTATACAATTGATTGTATTTGATTGCTATTGTCAACATTTGTACCAACAGGAGTGGCCTCAAATTGTGTTGATATTGGATCTTGCCCCCATCTGGCTGTTTCACATTCTAAACAGGTGTTTCACTCCGGATGAGCCTGTTCCGCAGAACTCATCACTTGGAATCCTCCTGTTCTCAGTGAGATCTAAAATTAAATGAATATACTTGTTTTTCTATTAGAAAAGGTTTGCAAAAGAGCAAACCTTTGTGCCAACAGCTGATTTCACACTGAAAAAAATGATTAATGTCCCAGGGGAAAGGAAAGGAATGTGGATGGATTGGAGGCAACACGGAATTTGCAGCAGGATCACTTCTGAGCTCTTAGGTAGTCTTGCCTTTATACTGCTATGGAGTTGAAAGCGGCGAGAATCAATGGACCCACAGCTCTGACGTGAGCTCTTTATGCCCTGCCTGGTTCAATCTAATCACAGTAGCCACGCTACCTCGTGCAAGAGAAGCCTCAAAGGAAGTGCTAGGGAAGCAAGCAGAAGAAATCAGATTTTCTTCCCAAGCCTCCAAGAAAGAAGAAAAAAGGGAGAAGAAAAAATCTGCAGAAATGGTGGCAAAGTGTCTTGAGATTTTCACTCTGAGCCTGTCAGTCACCATGAATGTTACTTTGCAAGCTGTACAAAGCACTTCACCTTTTACTGTTTTGCAGGTGCACTCAGGTAAAGGAGGATATGGCATATGTGCATGATATCAAAGCTCTAAATTGTCAGTAATATTGCCACAGCATCAGTCTGCCCAGTCAGTTCTGTGATGATTCCAGTCATACAAATCATGGCCTGCAAAGTCAGAGCCCCAAATTTAGGTATGAAGGAAACTGAGGTCTGATATCAAGTAGAACTGCAGGTGCTTATTACCTCTCAGAATAAGACCCTCAATTTTCTGCTCATGTAAAAGCTTGCGCACAGGAATGGTGTCTGCAAGGGGCAGTGTAGCAGGCTTTGTGACTGCACAGCATTGCCGTTCTAGATGACTTACACACCTGCTGTACCAGTAGTTAAATAAAAAGAACAAGTGATGATCCTTGGAGAAATGATCTTACAAATAAAAAAGGACATTTCCAAACAGGAATGGAAGATAAAAACCAAGATTATTTCTAGGCTACTAAGTGCTGCCTTGGAACAGATGAATGAAGGAAAAGAGGAGGAAAAGGGAGACCTTTTCTCTAATATGGTTTAAAGATCTAGGGCCATACTTTCAAATGAGTCCCTAAAACTGTACCTTCACATAAAGATGACCCTGCTTGCAGCTCCATCTACTGATGTGCTAACAGGCAGCGTGGGTGCACTAGTCAGAGTAGCAGAGACTTCTTATGCCTGAAGGGTGATTGTGCCCAAAAGCTTGCTAAGAACTTTTTCTTAAACGCATCCTTTAAAAAGTCATTCAGTAGAGCAAATGCCAGCAGGCTGCCCCTCTGCAGGAGAGATCCAGGTGTATTGACAATACACTCAGACCCCAGTGGAACAGTACACTGGATCCCATGTAAAGATTAGTCACTTTTATAATTGCCATTTGTGTGTCCTGCTCACTAAGAATCTCCTTTTCAGAGATCCTGAGCCCTATGGGTCCCAGCCTTCAGCCGGAGTTGTGAATGCTCAGAATTTCTCACAGTGAGACCACAGAGGAACCTCGCATGCTCTTCACAGATTTGTTCCCAGGATACTTCTACAATCCAACATAAGAATCTTGGGATGGGGATTGCCAAATGGTTATCAGCATAGGACAGTATCTTTATATCACTAGTGAATAACATAAACACGCAAGAGAGATGTTTTTGCTATGCATGCACATGCATGCACGGATTTAAAAAGTGTCTATTCTGAAATGAAATGTGTTTTATCAGATGTTCCCAGCTATTCAGGAGAAGAACTTCTGTCCCTAGAAACGATTGACATAAGAACAGTTATCTGGAACGGGCACATCCCCCAAGTTCTTGTTTCTGCCTGTGTTGCTTTGTCAGTCAGGAATATATAGTGAAATAACTGCTTCATTCCCCTTCCGTTCTGAAACAGGACACAGGTAGAACCCACCTCACGCTCCTCCCTTTTACACAAACCTTCAACAGTGGCAAATATAGTTGAAACCAGATTAAATTAAATTTATCCCTGGTGTAGCTCCACTGACATCAGGATTTAAGCAAGGTAATGAATACATTTAATTTTTGTAGCCCAGTAGGAAAGGGATTTTTGACACACGTGCATCTAGATGAATAAGTGACTATTTTAAGACCCGTAGGTGAGTTCCCTGTGCATTTCAAATGCAGAGAGGCAACGCAAAATAGTAACTAAGTCTATGTTACATCCATGGGGGACTGAAAACAGTAAACAGAAGTTACTTGGGGCTATCATGGGGAAGGCATCATCAAAATAGTATCTGAATTCATATCCTGTGGACATTATCCATCTATTGATGGTATTCAACAAGAAATATTGCAAACAAGTTTGTGTGTTAGCAGGCTGAAGAAGAGGCAGTAGCATCCAGATGCTTCCTGTACAAACAGTTTTGATAACAAAGTACTGTATATAACCAAGTAGTCAATGCCCCATTGGTTCCCAGCTGGCTGGTTATGGACTGGGTGGATCAGACAGGAAAACAGCAGAACCCAGCAAATATCTATATAGATAGATAAACAGATCTAGATGGATAGAAATGGATATATCTAGATATATTTAATTTGTATCCACAGCCACATTAGCAAAAACTAATGCTAAATCCAAGTGTCCAGAACCATAAGTGGCCCTACTACCGGCAAACATCCTCCACCCGTATCTGGGGCTTCAGATGCTTCCAAAACCTTTGGCAGGCATCCTACACACAGGCCCAAGCCTGGAGGCTTGGGGTTCGGATGCCCCCGAGTTTTGCTTGTCCTCAGCCTTACGGCCCTCAGAGCAAGCAGGGGAGGAGACTCCCACTTCCACAAACTGGGCTTAACGCCACTTCACCTCAGTGGGTCCTAATCCGCACCAGAAGAGCAGTCCTCCAGTGATGCACTTCAGGAAAACTGCCTTCTTGGACCCAGATATGTGGCATTTCCCTGCCAGGTGAAGAAGCCACAAGGCTCGTCCTGAGATCTAGCTCTCAAGAGTGGAGGCCCGGGGTCAGGTCAACTTAACAGTAGACACCCTGTTTTACAGAAGGCGTGAGGCTCTCTGAAGACAGCCGCCACAGGGACTGCACTCAAGCACCCCGGACCCACAGACATCCTCAGTAGGCAGCAAGTGGCTCCAGTGTCCAGGCAGAGCCACGCTGGGCTGGGCGGCGCGGAGACGCGGCTCCCCGGGCAGGGGCCGCTAGAGCCCGCGGGGGGGTGGGCTCAGCCCCAGGGGCGGGCAGGCGGGCG